CGGGCCCCGACGAGCGTGCTCTCCAGCAGATGTCGCTCTCGCACCGCCTGCGCGGCTGATCCCGCCTTCCGCCCTCCGGGGCCGCGCTGGGGATCGCTCACTCGGCGCGGAGCGTTGATTTCTTAGAGTTTTTTTTTTTTGGTTTGTTTGTTTTTCATTACTCTTTGCCAGCTCTGCCGATCATAAGCTTCCGTATTTGAGGCGGTCATCCTCATGAGTCCGCTTCTTTTCCTTTGTTTTGCTTGTCATGGCAAAAGCTTAATTATGGCATTTTTATTTGTAGTAAGTTAGGAGTTGAATGCTTGCTGCTCTTGGAATATGAATGTGACGGGTATAATTAAGAATAAGTAATTAAGGCACGGGGGCTCATGAGCTCACAAACAAGGTAAATTAAATAACACAGTAGAACACGTTTTTTTCTTTACAAACCAGGTTTTAGGCGCTGTTATCCCTCAAAGTGAGTTTTTCTACAAGCCACATTTAATTGAGATTAGATTTCTTACTTGTATTAGTAATAGCTTTCAAGTCTTAGAAACCACTTAGAGTATGCCTGTATGTGTGGGAATTATATACTGCATTTTTGTATTTTAGGAAAAAAAAAGGGACCAAAGAAGTCTTGTTTCCCTAAAATGTCATCTAGTGGCTTTAGATGAATAACTGAAATAGTTCCCTGCAGAAAAACTTTTACTCTTGCAGAAATCTTTGTCAACTTTACCCAAAACGTTTTTAGGTGTCACTTAATTTTATGTAAAAATATCTTAAAGCCTAGGTCTTGATAAAATGTAATTTAAAAGTGGCTACTGAGTGCTATAAATTCCCTTGAAAGTGAAAGTTGGCGTGCAGTTCTGAGTCACCAGTGAAACAACAAATTGCCCCCCTTGTGTGCAATAGTTAGGATGATAACACTTTGATTTAGGAAATAGGACTTGTGTTACATACAGGGGGAGAGCGAAAACTAGAGTATTGTTGCAAATGTTTGATTTTAGGGTAAATCCAACCTCTGTTTTTTACTATTTTGAGATTAGTATTTGTCTAGATTAGTGTAAAAGCTGTGTTTTAGGGAGCTTTAGGCATTATTTTAAATCTCACTGTATAAAACTACTGGGTTAGTGTTTGTGCCTGAGGTCAGGCAACAGGAAGTCGTTGTGCTGGTGTGTTTAAACTTAATTTCCAGCCCCTAGACTTTGTTGAGGTATGATGATTGCATGCATACTTCTAAATCGTTGCAGTGTTAGGTGAAACAGTTTCATCTAAATGACATTGCATGATAACTTAAGTCTTTTTCTATACAAGAAACAGCTTTCTAGGTGCTGTCGGTAAATGGAAGTGGATTTTTTTTTTTCCCTGCTTGTGTAATCTATAAACACCAACAAAGCATTTTTAAAAGCAGTCTCTTATGTTTTCTGCCTGGAACTTAAAAGAAAATTGCATAGGTCTTATGAAGTTTGAATTAGTACAGTAGTGATATGATACTGTAACTTGTAGTCTTAAACTGATAAAGGTCACTTACAGCTTAGAATTTATGCTTCCTACAAGTTTTCCCTGTGTTTTTGAACACTAGATCAACATATTTTTCACTCAAAGGTATAATTTTCAAAGGAACCATATTTTTAAATGTAGCTATATGACTTGCTTGTAGAAAAGGATTTGTAGTAGGAAAGGATTATTGCTTTTGCAAAAAAAGAGCTGTCATCTGATACCATGATTGCCTTATAGTGGGAACCTTTTTGTCATTATCCATTAGCATACATGGGCAAAGTCATGCTCAAGTCATCAATCCCCACAGTAATAACTGTATAACAACTGTCTAATAACATCAGTTTATAGCTTGTATGGTTTTCCCTTATTTTCATAATGTATCTGGGTACCTTACTCTGTGAACTTTCTCTTTTGCCATTTGTGTTTACAAATGTCACATCAAAACCTGAGGTTAAAAGGCCTTGTAAATATTTGTTCCTGCTCTTTATAAATATGTCTGAGATAATGGAAAAATGAGGGATGTTCTCTTGATAGTTTGTCAAACTGAAAAACATTAGTTTCAAGAAGATGGTGTATGAATCTTCGTCCAGTCAAACACAGATGCACAAATGGAAATGATCGTTTAACTTCTGTGTCTAGTAATAGTGAGAAAATAATTATAAATATGAATTAATAGTTGTTTTTATTGAAAACTAAATAATATTCTAATAACTATATCCTGACAGTGCTCTTTCTGAAGAAGAAAAAACTACATTGCGTGCTGGACTTATCACCAACTTTAATGAGCCAGTGAATCAGGTTAGTGGTGAACGATTATTACTCTCACAGCAAATGCTTGTATTGGTATATAATTTGGTTTCTTTCTTTACAAAGTGTTTAATAATAAAGTTGACAAGTTGCAATTTACTTGTTGCCTTTCAGACTGATCTTTATGTTGAAGTAAGATCTTTTTCCATAAGTCATAATTCATAGAATCATTTAGGTTGGAAACAACATGTTTTGTCTCTTTGGTTTGTTTTTTGTTGCAGTGGTAGTTTGTTGTCCCTTGCTGTTTATGCAACAATTTGGTGCAATGGTTCAGGGAATGGATGTAGCTCAAAAATAACCTTTTTTCCCGGAGTGGTTCTTTTTACAGCTGTATCTGTTCTATGATATGACTCCCAATATAGCCATACAAGGAAGTGTAGAGGTGGTGTAACAGGAATGAGCTGTTGAGAATGCTGCTGCATAAACCCACCTAAGAAGTATTGCTGTCATGTGTCTAATCACAGAATTGATGAATTTAAATAGGCATAATAAAGCTTCAGGATGATAGTGTCTTGTCTTACATAAAAGTGACTGATTTTAAGCTACTGTTTTGATTAGAATAAGGATTTATTGTTAAATTAACTATAAAGCTAATGTTAGGGGCTCAGAATAAGCATATGCTAGATGAATCAGTCTTCCTCCTGCTAACTTATTCTTGCTCATGTAAGTATGAGATTCTGCAGGGAAGTGTTTGCTAATATTTTAAGCTAGGTCTTAAAGAAGTTTTTCAGGAAAATACAGAAATGATTTGCATAAGGTAAAGCTTAAAAAGAAAAGATATAGCAAACAAACTTCTCGTTCTGCAGACAGTTCAGTTTCAACTTTTCAGGATTTCTTGATGGGATTAAAGTTATTTGTAGGATTACAGCAATATACCAAAACTAGGGTAATTGAGTGTTTGTAGAGGACCTTTGTGCAATGACAATTTTGACTAGCATTTGTAGTTTTTATTTCAAATGCAGTTTTTTAAAATGCAGGTAGACATAGAAAATATCTTTAAATTTGTAGTGCAGGTGTAGTTTCAATGAAAAAAAAAAACCCAAACAAATTATTACCTGTTTCTTTATTTCAACGAAAAAGAACTATGAAGTATGTCATGTTGAACCATAAAGTATGTGTCATTTACACTACTCCTGGGTAGTATAAAATTTATCAAATATTTAATTTTGGAGTGGTTGCATGATATTTACATTTCTAAAAACCTAACATTAACTGCATTGTGTGTAAAACAGTTCAAACTTTTTTTATCAATATTTTTTCCATGCCTCGGTTTGCCTGCTAAGACAATAGTATAGTATATTTTATAGTTATAAATTGCACTGCTGATGAACAGTTCTGCAGTTCTGAGAGTACAGTTGCAGGCTGAGATTGGAACTTTTTTAACTGACATTTTAAAGACTAGCAGCTTTAGGTATTTATTTGTCTGTCCTTAGGATATTTTTGCAACCTAGTGTCTTAAGATCTGGAGGATTTTGTTTTATTTTATCCCAGCAGCCTGCTCCTAAATGATTACCCAAACAATTGTTGTGATACTGAAGTATGTTTACAGAGTCCATCTCCCCTTCTTTCTCCATTGTTCCCCAGTCTGTGCCCTACATATCTTGAGGTCTCCTTTCAGAGGCATCTTTCATTTAGTCCCCTGTTTGCTTGATATGTCTGAGTTTTGGTATCTTGTGTTCCTGACGAATGCTCTCTTCCAGCCACAGATACTTCATAACGCAGTTGCTATCTGCTTGTGCTTTCTGCATAATTGAAGGTAGAAAAAGTATGACCCTTGTATGTATAAAAGGCAAAAAACCCAACTCAAATATGAGAATTACACATAGTATTTAGATGTGATGATATGAGCTGACTTCCAGGGGAGGGGGAGAAGAAAAACAGAACGTACCATATGTTGGGAGCATAATTTCCATGCCCTCTGAAGATATTTACCATATGAAGGGAACGGAGGAACAAAATACTGCTTGAAATGTATGACAGCAGATTTTTTTTTTCACTTAAAAAGCCAGTCCTAAAGGAAGAAATACTCTCGGCATCCCTGGAGAGGTTGCTTCTTGTATCACATACGGAGAAGAGTTTATTTGCTCCCTCCTGCCAATCAGCATCACTTGATCAAAAAATAAGTAAGACTCCCAGCTCTTCCTTGCATTGATGTCAGTTTTCTGAAGCAATTCTCCCTAAGCAAGTGGGTAGGAATGAATATTGTAGGAAGTTTTGTGGGGTGGCCAGACTTCAGATGAAACATCTGAGGAAGCAGTAAAGGAGGGCATGGCTATTCTCTCTTATGCCCGTAAGTTGCTTGGATTCCTTTCGGTAGCATAAGAAGGTGATTTCTTCCCTAGGCTGGAAGTGTGGTGATGTTTGTAAGCTTATGTTGAAGGTGACAGCGTCTGCTTCATTAATCCAATCAAGCACCTTTACAATGTAAATGGGATAAGAATGGGGAAGCAAGAACATGAAGGTTTTGGATATTTGAGGTGGGGTTATGAGCGATTATACAAAATTTATTAAAGAATGTTTAAGGCAAGGGAGTTGTGGAGCAGCAAAGTGGGGAATAGGCAGAAAGAGGGTATAAAAAGCACCAGTCGTGTAAACCATGGCTGGTCGGTGCCCATGTCAGAACAAACCCTGTGCCTAATCGCCACCACACCTGTCCTGTCTTCTGATTGAATCCCTTAATTATCTTTCTGTGTAATCTCACTCTGTTCATTGTGTGTGCGTGCTGCAAGGACTAGGTGCCAGCTACTGGCCAGACTGGCGTGAGTAGGATTTGGTGCCAGCACCAAAGTCAGATGGTCGGGGTGGTGTAGGTGCTCGTGGCCTGTGGTGTGAGCATCTGGAGCAAGTGAGAGTCTCGGCTTCAGCCACTGGGACGGGACTGCAACTTACAGGCACATGTGCCTGTGGGGAGGCAGTGTCTCTCTAAAAGCTAAAACTCAGGTATAGTAGAAATAAGGGTGATATGTGTTCAACAGTCTATGTTTGTTTGTAGAAAGCGATAGAAAAGATCACTAAGTAAAAAGTGGTTCCCAAGTGTCTGTTTCTTCATTTATGTGATTTGTAGAACAAATAAATTTAGTGGTCTTCATGAAAAATTTAAACAAGATAGCCAGCTTAGCATTTTGTGTAAATATTTACTATAGACATAAAATAGAAGGCCTTTTTTTTTTCTATGCATTTGTTTGCATTCAGCAAACTTAAAAATAGCTTGAGAAAAAACACAAAAAATCTAGCAATCTATATGAGGTTTTTTTAATTCAGGTTTTATTTGGCTGATAACTTCTGCATTGTACATGTCCTAAATGATCTTTGACTTTGTGGTATCTGTGTTTTGTTTTTCTTTTTGCAGATAGCAACTCAGATATCAGTACTGATTGCTAAAGTTGCCAGGGTGGACTGCCCAAGGCAATGGCCGGAACTTATACCCACTCTTCTAGAATCTGTGAAGGTCCAGGATGATCTTCGACAACACAGAGCGCTGCTTACCTTTTATCATGTTACAAAGACCTTGGCATCCAAACGGCTTGCTTCAGATAGGAAACTTTTCTATGATGTAAGTAATGTGATGCAATATTGTAGAGCATGCAAACCATATATCGTACATGCTTACCACTTCCCATGGTTAGCTGGCAGTGCATTAATGGCAGGTATGTTGGCTGTAATGCCTGCCCTTCAAACAGAAGTTGCTCTTTGGTAGGTTTATGTACAATATGAAGTAACTGGAAGTCAGTTTCTAGGTGAAATGTTTTTGAGATCTTAATTAATTTTGCATGCAGCTTGAGTGTTGTTATAATAACTTGTGTTAAGAAGCAGAGCTTCATCTACAGAACAATATCTGCGTATCAGCCTTTTGTTATCAAGCCGTACAGCAGACCTTGTTACATATGAATTTGCAGTGTTTTTGGAAGTGTGCTCTAGATTTGTAATTGAATATAGTCTTTAAAAAATACTGGGTTTTAGGCTTCCATACCACAGTATTTTTGGCTTTTATTGTTGGTGGGAATGTGTTTGGGGGCTTTCCATATTAACTTCTTTCTCCAGGTTAATTAAAAGGCAAGATGTGAATGCAAATGCCAAATCTTGTCTCATGCAGCTTACGTTTTCCATTGTAAGAATCCACTGATTAGAACACAGATTTACCTTTGGCTGTAGGCTGTTGCATCTCCAATCCCATTTGGAGTTAGGTAATGATGTAGTACAGCTAACTGAATTTAGTGAGTTAAATGTCTTTTCCAAACATGTTACATTTGAACTTTTGAATTTTTATTTTATTCCTCCATTTTAAAGAAAAGATTACAGTGCAGATAATGAGGGCTATTGCTGAAGATTTACCTATTTATCTATGTAGAAAAAATTTTCTGGCTGTGTAATCATTAAGATGAAATTTTAATCATCAGGAGTCTGAGGAACTGAAAGCTGGCTCTTGTAATAGGACAGGACTGAAACCATTATATGTTGCTATGAGATATGTGTGTAAAGGAACAGTGTTTTCTCTCTGCCATGTTTAGGTATGGATAATATAATCTTTGCATAGGAAATATTTGTTTATTTTGAAATTTATTAGGCCATTATACATGCTCTGGATAATTGAACAATACAGGTTTTGGTATATTCAGAGATACTAATTCCAAAGTAATAAAGAGTGAAACGAGATAATGACTTCTTTTCTAGAGCTCTCCTAAATCAAGGTGTTGCTCATACAGCTGGGTTACGCAGCTGAAAATATTGTTAAGCTCAAGGATATGGAAAGAAAAAAAGAAATCAAAGTCCAACCCCAAAGCCCCACTTCCATAAAACAGCCAAATCCATATCAACTCAATAGAGGGACAGAAAGAATTTACTCATAAGGTCCAGTCTTGGTTGTTAAAGTTGTCATGTCCAACAGTACCTTTGCTTTATTCTCACCATCTTACCAGGTTCAAAAAGAGCTCAGTTACCTTCAGTCATTTTTATGTTTCTTAGAAACTCATTAAGTCTGTATGAAACTTCTTCCTTATGGAATGCCATTTTTCCAGCATGGTATTTTCTTTGTATATTCTTTTTTTTCTAGACTGTGACAACCTCAGACATGCAAAGAAAAGGCTTATAAGAATTTTTTTTAGATTTGTAAGGCAGTTCTTATCAAAAATATCATTGACATTTCATTTTAATAAGCATACTTTTTAAGCAGGCTTTTTCTACTTAAATGTTGTGTTTTTAATTTGTGGATATGTTCAGTATGCAAAGTTCCCCTGTCATTCAGTTTGACATGAATGAAAATTTTCAGTGCATCCAGTTTCAGTGTGTTGGGAACACTGTGTATGTTCACAGTTTTTTGAACTTTAGGTGGGAAAAGGAAATTTTCTGAGCATCTGGCACTATAGAGTTTACATTTAAGGACTGATTTTTTTCAATAATGGCAAAATTGGACAACTTTGAAGTCTGCTTCTTCTGTCTCCTAGTAAAGGTAATTCACATCTGTTGAGTGGCATGTCTTTCTTACGGAATGAAGCCATTTGAAGCTGAATGTTCTAAGAACTTAAGTAACAGATTGCAAATCTTCTTGATACTTTCAGATAAGCAGTTACAGTTTCAACATTTCAGGTTATCTGAAAATTTTTTTTCCTGAAACTGAAGTTCTGCACAACTTCTATCTTAAACTAGAAGCACTTTTCTTTACAGTCCTACCATAAAGTACAGGAAGGTTTTGGGTACCTTCTCTGCTACAGGATACACACCATTCTGTTTAGTCTTTGTTGAACTTCAGTGAGGGTTTTAATGATTGTTGCAATTTCTTTGCTGCTTTGGAGATGGCTGAATCTTGAAACATGATCATAAACAGGAATCTTGAATAGGTATCGTCATGATCATATGGCAGCCTATGAAATCCAACACTGAACAGGTCTGCAGTCTTTGCTTTTACTGTTACTATTCATCATGAGCAGTTTTCATTTATGAAGATATTTCATATTTGTTCTTTAGCTTGGGTATCTTTTTACCACCACCAGCATGCTTAGCTTGTTTTGATGACTAGAGGAAATTTCAAGCAGCCCAGCCCCATGACTAGGTCTTTAGGTCCTGCAGTAACACAAATTGTAATTGCTAGTTGAATGACTTCAAGTGTAAAAATGTGGTGGGTCCTCCTAATGGATACTGTGTGTATTTGTGGTTCTGTCCCCCCAATTTTTAATCAAGCAATTACAGTTTTAAATTTTTCTAGTACTAAGGTACGCTGATTGGATGAAAAACAAATGGGTTTATCCAGAGTATGTTCTACTGTAAGGATTATTGCTGCTTTGAATTGTTTGGTGTTTTTTGGGGGGGTTGTGTGTGTTGGTTTTTTATCTGAGTTGTTACTGCTTACTATTATGGTTAGTATTGGTGTATTCTATTTAAAAGATACCCGCCCAATACCCAGAGTCAACCCCCAAAACATGAGTAGGTTGAAACTGATAATTATTTATTGATATATATAATTGATAATTATTCAGTGATGGGATTTTGCAACTTCAGGAGCACACCATTGAATAATTACCAAGTTTCCGTTGTCTCACCTTTACTCAGTCAAAGGAACCAAATAAACAGGTCATATGTGCTTTTGGTTCTGTTGATGGAATATGTAGCAGACTAAGTGCAGTTTCTTCCTTAACTGTGAAGCTGTCGAGTGCTACCATAACTGAATGAGAAAGTCTTTGTCTTCTGTTTATACTTCAGATATCTTTATCAGATAAGCACTGTTTGGAAACTGTAACGTGAATTCAGTTTGAGATTTGTTCAGTGCTGGCTGATCAGAAACTATTTGTCATTCTATATTCTAAATAATTTGAGGCAAGAAGTCAGGGTTTGCAGCTACCAACAAAATAAAGTTAGTTTCAGTGTAGGCATTGTTCAGTACTATTTTTATTAGACATAGGCATGGAACTGCTAACTGTGTCTCAGAGTAAGCTGATTCAGCTGTTAACTATGCTGCAAGAAAACAGTTTAAGTCTTGTGGGAGAGGAGGTGATGAGTAGAGTGGATAGTTTTTTGAAGCCTCATACCATGTTATAGACCTGTGGCTGTATTTAATGAAAATCAGATAAGAAAGGAGGCCTAAATAGATAACTTTAAAGTGGTAGTGTCATAGACCAAGTAGTCAGGGAAGCAGGTGAGTCTATCATAGTATCTTCAAATTAAGACAAGGCATTTTTCTGGAAAACGTCTTTAGATCAGTACAACCAAGAAGTGAGTGAAATACTGTGCTATACAAGAAGGTGGATTAAATAATTTAACAGTCTAAACTGGCCTTTAAAATTTAGGAATTTATTATTCTATAGCCAAATTCAGGAAATAAATATATTGTTGGTCTGTCTTTCCTTTTGCAGCTTGCATCAGGTATTTATAGCTTTGCGTGTTCCTTGTGGAATCAACATACCGATACATTCCTACAGCAAGTTTATACAGGGGATGAAGCTGCAGCTATAAATTCACTAGAAAGAACCTTGTTGTCATTGAAAGGTAACAATACAGAATGATTTCAAATATAAGGAATCAAGTAAGTTTCTTCACCACGAACGAGTAAGACTTCTTTGGTAAAGAGTTAGCCTTCTCTAACAAAGCTGTGCCCATTAAGAAAACCAGTAATCTTGGTTTATTTTACCTGTACCTTTAACAAGGCAGAAGGAGGATTGTTTACACGGAGGGGAGAGAAGATACTCTTGTTTCTCAGTATGTGCCATTCTGATATGCCTGTTGTAAGAAGTCAAAGTCTAGGAGGTGGGAAAGTGGAGGGGATAACATGATGCTTTTTTACATGTGTTGTAATTTAGGCTTGGATCTGTCTGTCTTTAGGCACTTAACTGAGGAAGCTGAGCTATGAATTTTGTTGCATTAAGTTCACCTTGTGCTCAGTGAAGAGGTAGCCTTAGCAGTCAGTTTTTAGGTTGATGCTCAAGTAGTTACCAGTGGGGTGAACAGGCATCCTTACCATACTTCGCTGTTTTGAAGAACTGAGATGTTTGTGTCCAGTGCTTGCAATGCAGATGATACTAGTCTTGAATTGGTTTAGAAGGTGCAGCATGAGGCTTCTCTGGGTTACTGGCAGTGGTAAACCTGAGAAAATACGTAAGATGGCTTATGGGCCCTAGTTGACCGTACTTGGCCCTTTTCCTGCTGCAGAACCTTTCAGAGGCTGAATAGTTACAGCTTTTGCAGAATTCCTTGACTCAGTAATTCTTAGAGTTCTCTTCATTATTTTACACATAATGTACTGAATTTTAAAGTAATTTCAACAAGATTAGATTCATGTTAGGTATGGTTGAGGCATCCAGAGGCCTAAAATTAAATGTATTTTTTAACGTGGAGCTCTGGAAGAAAGGCACAGCAACTGTAATTGTAATTGTATTCTGAAATCTGTTGGAACAAGGGCTGAGAGATAGCAACACAAGTTAATTTTTTTTTTCCTAGTGCTTCGTAAACTGACAGTCCATGGGTTTGTAGAACCTCATTGGAGTGTAGAGGTGATGGTAAGTGACATATATCTGTTTCTAGTTCTAGATTAGAAATCTTTAGTGATGATTTCAGTTGTTGTTAGAGCTATGTTTAAAAATCGCCGAAAGGTACACATTGGTGTTATGTAAAGGAAGATCAAGCAACATGCTCTCAAAGTTGTCCTCTCATCAGTTAAGAACTGTCAGATCCTAGATAGATCCTAAACACTGTGACACCAATGGCATGTTTAAAGAAAGAAAAGGTACCCGTTCCAATTTACATGTCACATGATAGTGACACCCCTGTTTCCTGCTGGAAGATATCTTACATGTACTCTCCCCCATCATTTGAAGAGGATGTTTTCATTTAGTGAACAATGTAATGGCGTATTTGTCCTACCAAATTCTGTTGATAGAATATGTCTGATTGAGATGAAAGCCTGTGGTATGCAGCGTATCTAAGGGGTGGTGGTGGGAGAAGAAACCCAAACATCTCCCTTAATCTCAGACGCTGCCTGCTTTGCTGGAGGAATTGGTTACCTACGACCTACATCCTAAACTACGAAATTGAGAACAGGAAATAACTGGATAAGCAGATTGTAAAGCATATGTCTATATTTACCTATACCACCTTCTACTAGAGATGTCATGCTGTTTGTATGGTGCTAATAAGGTCGGTTTGAATCATCTATGCAGCCTGCTAGCTAGCTAATTATTTGTTTCATGAGGACATTCAAGATAATCAATTAGTTCAGTTAAAATTGATAAGGTGACGTCTGAGCTAGTAACACATCTGAACGGACTTCAATTTGACTCAACTCTCTTCTCATAATACAGTACAAAATAAGCTTCATCTTTAAGAGACATGTATACTGTTATATTTTTCAGGGTTTTCTACATGCAGTGTTTGAACGGCTAAAACAGTTTCTGGAGTGTAGTAAGTATCTGAATATTTTTCCTTGTATTTGTTGTTAAATCTTAGAAGCTGGATGAAAACGTAATACAGTTTAGTGCATCATCATTAATCATTTAGGTGCAAGATATTTTTTATAAGTGCAAAGCTATTACTTCAAATGTTGCTGAAACTGTCAGAAAATAATTCAGTAAAAATGTCCTTTTATATCAATGGACTAAAATCCCACCAAAATTATACTTGGTGTGGTAATGCCAATTAAAACAAAAATCTTGAGCCATGAATTGACAAAGTATCCATATTAAAATATGTAGATGCTACTAAAACCTAGATCATCTTGAGTTTTCTTCTTTGGGAGGTTTTTATGTTTTTCTTTCTCTTGGAGTTTGCCATGTATTTTGGCAAGTGTCAAATGGGAAATAAAGAGCACATTCAGCTATATGTACTTTATAACTGGAAGAGTAGTAGTCTGAGACAGGCAACCACAGGTTAACACAGTCAACAGAAATATAAGCCTAATTGGCAGGTGTTAGTGCTTTTGCAGGGAGGTTACCTGAAGCAAGCAAAAAGATGATGTTTGGCAGTGTTGCATCTGAAGTCACTGCTCTTTTCTTGCTTGTACGCTTGTAGTAGACCTGTAGTAGACCAAGCGATTCGTTCATTTGAAGCCTGTCAGGTCATTCTTTTAGGATTCAAGAACACTTTTTCTGAGAATAGATGTCTAAACTGAGTAGAAAGAATTTTTTTTTTTATATAAATGAAGGTACTTGGCTCAGGAGACTGTACTTAGGTGAGAGGGGCTGATCTGGGCTCTGAGCCGTGGTTTCTAGAAAAGATGGAAACTGCCGCTGTGTTCAATGCCAAAATAAAACACCTTTTTTGCTCTTCTAAAATGCAGGCTGCTTTGCATGCAACTCTTTGCCCCTTCTACTACACTACAGTCATGCTCGTTCTGGTCCTTCTTTCATTTTTTTGCAAGATAGTTGTCTAGCTTTAATAGACTGAATTGCAGGCCATCCCATCCTGAATCTTGGCAATTACCATAATCCCCTAGAACATGAGGACTGTGGGGTTTGAATGTCTTAAGATAAGAACTGAGCTGAAGCTTCCCATTTCCCCTTTTCTAATTGGTAAGTTGTTTTGCAAAAGCAGGCATGACTACCTTAGAAGATTAGCATTTACATTTACTATATCATGGGTTTTGCCTGGATGCCTTCATTATGGCTCTTCTGTTTTTCTCTTTTTTTTTATAAAAGCTTTATCTATTTTTTGTAAATTCAGAATGTTTTCCAGTGTCCATAATCAATTATATTTTATGGTGGACCTTCTAGAAAAGCATATAGTATTATGTACTAAGGATATACCATGATTTTAATAAAAGGGGATTTTCATCTTTTCAATGCTTTTTTACCTCTTGTCTATGCTAGCATTTGTTTGCATTATTTTAACTGTCTTTTGTCATTGAGTTGCCTGTAATGATGTTCCAACTGTTTTATTCTGATCAGTTACAGTGAATTTCACTGCAGTGGAGAGAAATGGGAAAAGATTTCCTGCCCCCTCCCGCCCCCAGTACTCATTACCTTGAATTTGACTTTGAGTTTATTCTGCCGTAGAACTTTTCTGGCTGCCCTGATCCCTGAGCTACAGATAAAACAAGTTGTTCTCCAGTGTTAATTTTTTTAAAACTTAGCTATCCAGAAAGAAAAGGAAAGTCTGAAAAAATGATCGCTGTTGAATATTTGATTTACCAGGTAGAAGTATAAGAGCAGAAAACGTATGCAGAGATCGTCTAGAAAAAACTATAATTCTGTTCACTAAAGTGGTAAGTAAATTTTCCATTCAGTTACTGAATAGTTTCCCATTCTGGTGGAGCAGTCCCCATTCAGATATGTATGTGCCTTAGAACTGATAGGTTTCAGATCTATTGAATAAGTGGCCACTTCCAGTTTATTGAAAGAAAATTAACAGCAAAGTGTCTTACCCTCTGTGACTTTTGTATTGTATAACAATTTTGGAGTTGTCAGCTAATTCTGTGCAACTGTTAATTGCAAGTATTATCGGAAGGTAATTTTAGCATTGTCACTTGCTCTGTTTTTAAAAGATATAAAACCTACAGAATTCCCAGATTCTATTTTAGGACTATGGGTCTTATTTAAATATTCAGTCTATTTATGAGAAGTGGGAGGCATCTGTTGACTTCACCAAAACTGATATGAAGGTTCTCTGACCCAACATTTTTAGTCTTTGTCATAGTACTTCTTACTTTGAACTACCAAGCAAAGTATGTGAGGCCTGTGCATCTTTTTCATAGACCTGAAGAGAAAACACCCCTTATTAGCAGATAATCTACCACCTATAGGAAGTCAGATGCAAGAATTCAGGCTTACGCATTTTTGCAGTAGTACAGAAAAATAAAGGAATTGACCAGTGCATTCTAGGCCACTAGGTGAAAGCTAAGCTGAAGAAGCAAGTGCTTGTACTGCAGTGGAGCGGGAGAAAAAGGAATAAAAAGTTACTTCCCTCATGCCTCTTCTACTTACAATAATTCTAATAGGGATGAATTATCTGCTAAAATGTTCAGGGTGTTAAGTGTGGCTGATGCGTTTTATATACCGTGTTCTAGAAAGTTGGGCTGGTTGAAAATGGGTATTGTTCCTGAAACTTTAAAAAACGTTAGTTTTGCACATGAATCAAGAATTTCAGGGAAAAATAATGCTTCATTAACCATTGATACTGATCTCTTCCTAATTTCCTGTCTGTGTTCAATTTTCTATAATTTTATATAATTTGGCACTTGTTTTTGATAACTAGTTTATGAAAGCATTTAATAAAAGACTTGCACAAAAAGTCATTGGATTTTTTCTTGCTCTTCTACTTCCTTAATTTTTAGCTTTTGGACTTCCTGGATCAACATCCTTTTTCATTCACCCCTTTGATTCAGAGGTCATTGGAGTTTGCTGTAAGCTATGTTTTCACAGAGGCTGGTGAAGGAATTGTATTTGAGCGGTTTATTGTACAGTGCATGAATCTCATTAAGATGATTGTAAAAAATTATGCTTACAAGCCATCCAAAAATATTGAAGGTACTGCTGCTATTTACTAAAACAATTTTTTTATAACAATTTTATAAAAACAATTTTTTTATAAGAGAGTTATAACACTAAAACTCCTTTAAGACATTCTTTTGAAACGCTTAATGTTTTAATAGTTAGTAATGTATGCTTCTGTCTCTATATTGATAATTCTTATATTGATGGTTAAAGTATTAATATATAGAGACATTGATTTGCTAAAGTAATTTTAAATACATAAGGAGCATGGATATCTTTTCTTTGATTTAGTTTTCATTGAACTAATTTTAAAAGGTACTAAGGTATGGAACTTGGTTTACTTTTATCAAATGGTTAGATGCATCTTTCCCTTGAGAAATGTTTGATAAAATGGGGTAGTTGCTGAAATTAACTAATACCAGTACTCTGAAATAAGAAACACAGTGAATTTGATATAGAGTGGAATATAAAGAAGTTTATATGTCCTGCTTTGTAGGACTGTGTTTCATTTAGAATCTTTGTACACTGCTGTTTGTACGGATAATGAAAAACAGAACTGAACTGTAGTAAAAAAACCCCAGACCTTCCACATCAGTTTGACATTTGGCAATGACTAGATAACAATTAGCATTCTCTTTCTAAATTTGAAAACAAAAAAAGTTTCATGAACATACTGGTACGTGTCAGATTACACAAACCCAGCTTTTAAAATTCTTCAGAATATTGATGTGTTTCAGTGTTATTTCATAATTTTATAATATGTCAGAATGTCCTAAATCCACTGATTATTAACAGAAGTTTCTACTCACAAAAATGCATAGTTGTGTTTGAGGTTTTGAAATAGAAATGTGGTCACTTCAGACAAGAAGAATATAGCACATTCTGATGAAAGCTATAGCACTTGACTTTCTGAGAACTGGGTGATTAAAACCAATGAAAATAGAAAATTTATTTTTCTTAAATTTTGAATGACATATATTGTTTGTATTGGTTGTATAGCATATAGTATTTGGTTTTATTGCTGCTTTCTTTAACGAATATTAACTCTTAAAAAGCCCAAGTTATTTTTAAGATTGTATTTGGATAAACTTTCTGAATAGGTATAAATGAAACTTTCTTTTGATTCTGTGTGGTTTTTAATGCACTAATGCTAAATAAAAAAAAAAAAAAAAACCAGCAGGTAAACACTTTCTCTTTTCATGTACATAGTAGCTGAAAACTATTATAAATACTTTGTAAGGCCCTAACAGCCCTTCAGTCTAATTGTGCTAGTAGAAAACTCTCTTAAAAGTAAATGAATTTGAGAGTTTAACTTGCTTTAAAAAAAGTACTACCTGAAAGTCTGTTATGAAAGTCTGCCATGAAAATGTTTTTTTTTTTTTCCTTTGAGGATACAAATTTCTTATCCATTGATTTCTTTCTAATTTTACTAGACTACTATTTGATCATTAAGCTGCTTAATTGTAATTTGGAATTTTCTATGGTTTATTTCAGATAGCAGTCCTGAAACTCTTGAAGCACATAAGATAAAGACAGCATTTTTCACATATCCAACACTAATGGAAATATGTAGGAGATTAGTCACTCACTATTTCCTTCTGACAAAGGAAGAATTAACCATGTGGGAAGAGGACCCCGAAGGCTTCAGTAAGAAACGTTGTATAGTTGGTTGCAGTTTATTTAGGTACTGGTGTAACGGTTTCATATCCGCATTGCCTCTACCAGTTGCTTACTGCAATGTTGGCTGTTTTATTTTTTTGCAGTCTTGTTATGTGGACAAATATTGCCTCTAGAGGTTGTTTTCATAACAAGAGATTTCTCAGTAGTCTGATATTCACATATCTAAATACTATGCTTTATTTGAACCATAGTTGAAATAATACTTTTTCCTTTTCTTTATAAAATAATAGCTGTAGAAGAGACAGGAGGAGATTCTTGGAAGTACAGTCTCAGAGTAAGTGTTTCAATTTGAAAGAAAACCATTTGACATTTCTGGATGCATTTCTTGATAGTCTTGTAGCCAAAGAGATGATATTTTGTAGAAAGATAAGCTCATGCTTTTCAAAAAATCTGTAGTTAACGAAATGTCATTAGAATTAGTATAAATTAACCTTCTTATCACTGTTCAAACATGCTGCAATACACTGGCAACTATGCACTTCGTATTCTAGGAAGGAGGGAAAAGGAGTTTGCTTCAGCATTTGTATTGTGTATTATCTGATGGTTATTAAACCCAGTAGAAGTTGGCTCTTTAAACTGGTGACTGATATTATCACTTATGACTTTGTTAGTACACATGATGAATGAAGAAAGTTTCAGATGCATCTATATTAGTATTGTAGTTCAGATCAAAAGTATGCTGTTGTAGTGAATCTCCCAATTATTGCTGCTGTGGCTTGCTTTGCAGAGAGATCTCAAAGTTAATTTGCTGTGTTACATTTATTTTAAAACTAAAAAAAAACCCCAACCCTGCGCATCTAGCATGTTCCAAGTGCAAACAGGTATTCAGTCTAGATGACTCAGAGCGAATAGGAAAAGAAACCGTGACATACCTGCAGTGTGATCACTGGCTCAACACCAACCATTTCAAAGATCCATTGTTCTTCTACTGCAGAACTGGCTGGTATAGATACAGCCATCAAAATCTTGCTAGAGTTAAGCATACTCTATAGTAGGAAGAGTGGTATTTCATATAATACTAATTTTGCTACAGTATATTGCATTTTAAATGACCTTTGGTGCAAGTTAGTCAGCACTTACAAATTCTAGCATAAAATGTATTTTAATTGCATTTATTTTGATAGATTCTAAACCAGATCTTTTAATTTTTCAGCCATGTACGGAAGTTCTTTTTATTGATATTTTCCATGAATATAATCAGACTCTTACCCCTGTGCTTTTAGAAATGGTTCACAGTCTACAAGGTAAGTTCTTTATAAAATAAAGGAACTGTAAAATGTAGAATTCTTTACATTCAGTTTTGTCAACTGTTAAACAACTTCACCTTGTGATATCTAATTTTATATAGTGCATTCACTCTGTATTTTTGAAAGGACATACTAATATTTAAAATTATTTCTAAACCATAAAGAAAATGCAGTGTATATATAGAAAGAGGAAATCCTAAGGATTCTTTACTTTTTGTCATAACTATTTCAGATGACTGACAAAGACTACAGCATGTCTAGATTCATGAGGTTTCAGCTTGCATGAGAATGGTCGACAGACTTAATAAATTCTGTAGGTTGTTTTGTACTGGGAACTTCCTGTTCAAATGTTGCAAGGCAGTTTATGGTAATTCTGCCATGTTTCTGCAAAAATCCTGGGGAAAAAAACAGGTTCAAGTTATGCTCTCATTTTGGAGTGTCTAGAGCACTTTCCAAATCTGAAGAATCTGCTTTAAAAATTAGTGTTCTTCTGTATGAAGACTGAATTCTTCATAGACTGAGGAATGATTCAAGTTTTCTTCACCCCCACACTGAGTTTCATAGTGGTCATGAAAGATAATGAGTGGTAGCTGTCACGTTGTTTTCCCTGTCATTTTGGCCTAGGTTGTTTCCCCAGGTTGTATCTTACCTGACTTAAAATATTTTCTATTTGAACTTACCAGAATGGATCAGTATATTCTATTAAATAGAAATAAATACTAATTCTCTGAGGGTGGTTTCTGACTTCAGAGAATCTCTTCATAAAACACTTTGTATACATAAGTTTCAGGATGGTTTGCTGTGCTGTGATACTGGGAATGGTAAAAGGTTCCTTACAACAGTGTTGACAGTTATTTTGTTTTTCCAGAATTATGGAAGTTAATACTTCCATGCTAAAAAGTACACATACACTTCCCACCTGCCCCCCCCCAAAAGCCCCTGGCAGCCATTTCTGGGTGTTTTCAACTTGAAAGTTAGTGTTGAAGTACTAGATGATAGTAAGAATTCTTTAATTCTTAAGATTTTGGAGAATTTTTGCTTACACATTGTAAGTACACATGCACACATATATAAAGTATATAGGAACTAGGTCTAGGACTCTTGGAAATCGTATCATGTAGTTGACAGCCTTCAGCAATTTGCAGGTCTTGAGTCTGTTCATTTAAAATACATGTTTCTGACTTACTCGCGTGTTGCTGTTAAAAATGTTCAGCTCCAAAGAGGTCAGTCAAAAATAATGTGTGAAAGCAGAGATTTGATTTTAGTATATTCACTGAAGAAAGTATTGAAACTGAAATAACTGAACTTGTGAATAAAACAAAAACAGCGAAGCAGTCCTTTATTCATAGCAAACTATACAAAGTGTAAAAGTGCAAAGTTGCTTGTGTTCTTTGTTTTAGTTACACTTTTTTCTTTATTTTAACTTTGTCTTGTAGGATCTACCAATGTGGAAGATACCAGTGCTATACTGATTAAAGATGCTGGTAAACTAAATTTACTTTACCTTTGAATTAACAGAGCTGCTTTTGTGTATGTGCTTGACTTCTTAAAAGTTATATGCAGAATTTGCAAGATTTTTTTAAGACATTTGAAAAGTAGGACCTAAATCCCATTTCTCCTTGCACTTGATGTCAGTCTTCACTTTTCTAAATGCTCATGTAAAAATATGGCGCTTTTTTCAACTTTTTTGTGAAACAAACCCTTAGACAGTATCCCTTACTGTCCTTCCCTCTCTGCAAATAAATGAGCTACAGTGCTTCCATGGAGATACTCTGTCCATTTTACAAGTAAGGAGATTTTATGGCAAAAGAAAAGAATTGGCTAAGACCTTTGATGGAACCATTCTTGATGTTAGAATAAGATCTTCATTGTTCTTAGGGCTTTTAACTATTTTCAAGAGTCTCAGTTTTCTTCTGTAATACCTTTCTTCTACTAAAATTTCGTCCAGAGTTCCCTTCGCTATCGTCTGATGATATCTTTCATCAGAAAGATACACTTTAGTTTGTTTTCTGTATTATGTTCAGGTTATCAAAAATGCTTTTTGAAACTTAAATTATTCTGATTATTTCATATTAAAAATTAACAGTTAAGCAAACAATAAAGCATAACTATTGTTTTTCCCCAGTGTATAATGCGGTTGGACTGGCTGCTTATGAACTATTTGATAGTGTGGATTTTGATCAGTGGTTTAAAAATCAACTATTAGCAGAACTACAGGTTTCTCATAACAGGTAAACACCTTGGTTTGTTACGCCTTCATCGTTTAAATATGAACTGTTGATACAAATCTGGTAAGTTATAATGTCTAATAACTGCAGTCTTGAAAAATACTCAATATTTAAACATATACACTAAATGAGCAGAGGTATGAAGTACCTATAGATAACTGATACAGTCACAGAAGGGTGTGTTCCTGACAGTTTCTCTTTATGTTTAAATTACTGTGTGGTGGATGCTGCCAGGGGTCTGTAAAAATGTTATAAGTCTGTCCTCTTGTGTATATTTGACTTGACTAAACTTTCTCAGGACAACCACCTTTGCTCATTTAAAGAAAGATACTAAGGCCTCCTGAGACCCCAGAGCCCTTTAGGCAGCAAAGTCCAACTGAAATCAGTGGAAATAATCTCTGTAGAACTGTAGCTTAGCCAAAACAGTGATTTGTTGTTCTCTGCTAGTTTAAATACAAGCCCTCTATAGCACTCCTCAGTTAATTTTGCCAGCAATAAAGTGGGGTTGTGTTGTAAAGTGTGAATGATTACAGGCTGGTTCTACATAAAGAGTATTACGTAGCCCATCTGCTGTGGGTTTTCCATCTCACCAAAGTCTCCTTCACTTGGATGGCCTTCACATGAGTACCTTTTTTTGTTTAGTGGGTATCAGAGTATTTTGAAAGATTGGCTTGGGCATCTTGGTACAGACTGAGCTGTCCATCTCTAACTGACTAGAAGGCTGTGTTCCTCCTTGTTCCTCAAACTGTCACTGTTTCCTTAGGGGAAGGACAGTGACTGCTATTGTACATGCTAATCCTCATCAGATTAGTTCCACTTTCCCTTTGACTCTGAATAAGTATGTCCTATTTTTCTCATCAGAGTTATTTGCAGTAACCCTAATGTCCTTTAAAGAACATTACTGGGTTTTTTCTTCTACATTTGAAATTCATCTTAACAGACATAATTGTTATCTGAAATACAAACTAATTTGTTTCTTAATACCCTTAAGAGCTACTGTAAATTGTAAATGATTTTCCATAATGAGTTGCCAGCCAGCTTTTTATTATTTCCAAATGCCAGTTATAAACACTTTCTTTACAAATACAGCTCACTTTGTGTAGAGTGGAAGATCCTGCTAAACTCAGAAATATTAAAATGCTTCTTTTCATTACAATATACTTTTTTAAAAAAAAAAATTATTTACTTTTGGATGTATAACCTTACTTCAGAGTCACAGACTAATTGCCACAGTTGTTTACCTGGTGTCTGCTAATGTTTTTATTCTTTTTCTCATTAGTCTTTTTTTGGTATTATCTCAACTTCGCCTTGCTATCTACCAATGGCCAAGCACTGTCACGGTTAGGCTAACTGTCAGAAGAGCAGAAACAACAAAAAAAAGAGATCTTGTATATATGATTGATCCTTTGTTGTTGTGCCACACCAGCACCGACCTCTGAATAAAGCTGCAATGGTATTTGTAGCACATGCTGGCTTTGGCATTTTTATGCTGTCCACCCATATAGCATAAGTAAAACTGTCAACTGTCTTCTACAGTTGATATAGTTGTATTTAGAAGTAGGGAAGACACCTGATACAACCATTTGGTTGGCATTTATATACCCATGATGAAATTCCTGTGGGGACAGAAGCTTGCAGTAGAAGTCATCCAGGAGTTTGAAGCCTTGTTTGCTTGAACTGCTTCTACTGCTAGCATCATTGGAGACCACCATGGCAATAAGGGAGAGTGTGTTAGTAGTTTGCATGTCCAGATGAAGCAGATTGGAGAGTATGACCTGCTGTCTCATAGAATGTCTCATGGTGATTAGCATGCTTGTTCACAAACTGGTTCATGTTTGGGAACACAAACCTATGTGGTGTCAGCAGTGTCCATAGAGTTTACTGTGTTTTGTCATCTTTGAATGTTTATTGCCTGTTTATAGTGAGGCTGTCAACCATGACCACAGCAGTAGGAGAAATAGGGATTAATGAAAAAATATTTTTAAAGATTTTTAGAAACATTGCATTGCCAAACTTATCACTTACCATAATGTTTAGTTTTGTACTGAGTAAGGAGAAACTTTTCTGTAATATGAAAATAGTTTACTAATACAATCTTTCACAATAATTAAATCTTAAAGCAACTTTTCCTGCT